TTCAATCTGAAGAAACATACTCCGCTCTCTCATAAGTTAGGTACCCCTGCTTTTACTGAGGACAAAAAAGTAAAGTAAGTTCGTTATAGTAATTACCACATGTTTGGGGCGAGAGACTTCGGCCTTCGGAAGTAAGATCCACCAAAAGGCAACAAGAAAACCTTTATTGTGGAAGACCGGGCCCAAATTCACATTATCCATTTTGTATTTAAATTTGCAAACTTACAAATTTACAAATTTAACAACAAATTATATATAATTGTTTGATTACATAATGATTTAACAAAGATATCAAGTTTTTTATTTGTGTTTGTGAAGATTTTTTAAAATATTATTATTAATCTTTATCAAGGACACACTACAATACGGTCCATAGTTAAAAGGAAATATCAGATTCACACAGATTATCCCAAATCGTTACTATTAATAAGTTAGGTTCAATAATTAGAGCAGAATAAATGCATAACATTCCAGGGGAGCACATAGTAAGCTACAAGCCTTCATTTACTCCTGATTCATTCACATAATCTCAACAGACCAGTAACGGCTGGGAACCGTCCGGGGGCCGCATAGACATGTGTATCAGACCGAACGTGGCCCCCGAGCCGTACTTTGCCCAGGTCTGACTTAAAGCATATAATTTTTTCGTAAGTAATCATTTATTTGTAAATTTCTTTCAGAGCTAAAGGATTGATGTGAGTTGTAAATTCTATCTTTGAGCCTCGGCTAATTTGGAAGATGTCCGTTTTCCCGATGGATCGCTCAAATAAACGCAGATTGCCAAAGCAGGCGGCGACTGCTGAAGCTGCCGGCTCCAGATAAGACGGAACAAAAGCCCTTAATAGGCCACAGACTCCAACCACGGCGTTTTTCTCCTATCGCCTCTCTGCTAACAAAGAAAAACAAGATGCTCTGCCTTTTCTTCTCGTCTGCAGAGATTAGCGGCGCTGAGGTGTGGACGAGGAAATGTGTAGTGAGTGATAATTCAGCGCTGCCAAGAACCAGTGCTGGAAAAACACCCAAGGATGTCTTTTCATCCTGGGTTCAAATCTGGGTTCATTTCAAACAAGAACTTCCAATAAGGCTCATTGTTGCAGAAGCACAGAGCTGCACCCGGAGACTGCAGGGCACGCTCTGAGGGTGAGGGTTCGAATCCAGGGCTGCACCCGGAGACTGCACGCTCTGAGGGTGAGGGTTCGAATCCCGGTTGATTGCTCTCGTCTCGCTGACTTGTACCACGCTAAAAGTCTACAGTGGAAAGATGAAAGCTTTTTTTTAGCGAGATATTTGCAAAGGTTTTATTCTGCACACCTTCACTTCAATGTCTCTGATGCGACACTTTTGGGAGTAAGCGGCCATTTTGATATTTTTTCTACTTTTGTTAAGCAAGAGACGAAATGTGTGGTTTATTCAAAAAGGTTAATTTTGTCCAATTTAATTCATTTTATTATACAGCTCCTCACAGCAGCAGTAGAACGCTCCATTGATTTGAATGGAATTTCAAAACGTTCTACCGGTCATTATTTTCTATAACGGACCTCTCAAAACAATAATGACCGCTGCCCTTTGGCAACGCACTCTGTGCTTGTATTTCAAATGCGTGGATAACTCCGCAAGTAGTTCCGGCCACTCCTGAGCTAGCCACGCTCAATCAACACACTTAAATGTTAATCGGAGAATACTTATACATTCTTCACACACGTGCACGGAAATTTTCAGAATTTTCTGGTCTTGTCTTCATGACAAAAATACTATTTCTCTGCGTCAAAAAGCGATCGTGAAAAACCCGGAAGTAGTTCTGGCCGCTCAATAAACGCAAATGCCAATCAATTAACGCAATGAAATGTTTATCGGAGAGTGAATTATACATATCCAGTCTTAATACAAGTGCACGGAAGTTTTCAGAATTTTCCGTTTACGTTTTCATGACAAAAACACTGATGTAATGCGAGAAAAGGCGATCCCGAAAAACCCGGAAGTAGATACGGCACATTTTAAGATACGGCACATTTTAGGAACATTTGCAGAGGATCGAATTATGGATTTAGGTTAAGTTTATGTTTGGGTCACTCACCGCTGATGTTCAGGATTCTGTGTTCAGTTTTCATGCAGTTCCAGAGAGTTCTAGTTTGGAAGTTGCCAGCCTAACTGTTACTAGCCTAACTGTTACTAGCCTAACTGTTACTAGCATAGCCACGGGAAAGCCTTTGGGAACTATTTTATTTTCTGTCATTAAATAAACCTTTCGGCATTCCTAAAAGTGGACTGAAGTTTATGTTGTGTGTTCTGTTGGTATAAAGCCGTATAATAAGCGGGATAACGTATATTACGCAGGTCATTATTACCTTACGTATTCATGTATCGCCCTAAATCACTGACTTAACAAAACAGTCACAACACAGAGAGACCACATGGTATTGGACCATAGGGAAAGACCACATGGTATTGGACCATAGAGAGAGACCACATGGTGTCGGACCATAGGAAGAGACCACATGGTATCGGTCCATAGGGAGAGCCCTCAAGATTCAAGAATATATTTGCCATTTGCAGTAAAACCACCTTGGAAAAGCTGTGCAAGACTCACCCTGCACTGCTTTTACCACTTTTTACTGTACATAATATGTTCTGAACTAATGTGACAAGTACATTTCCCCAGTGTGAGATCCATAAATCTTATCTTAAAAAAATAAAACAACACATCATGAGTTACAATCTCGACAATTTTGACAACAACATTATGACGTTCCTTCTTTATCAATCACATCTGTTTTAGAATCCGGTTCATCTCCGTCTGAAAGGAGTCATAGTAAAATGGGCGGCACGGTGGCTGAGTGGTTAGCCCTCTCGCTTCTCAGCAAGGAGGTCCTGGGTTCGAATCCCAGTCGGAACGGGGCCTTTCTGAGTTGAGTTTGCACGTCTATTGTTATTAGTCAACTTGTTTAGTGTTGGTGTGTTAAAGCTGGACTACCTAACTTTAAAACAACAAAACACAGCAATACATTAAAATCTATGTAACTAGTTCAGAGTGCTCCAGGTGCTCCGGTTTTCTTACTTAATTACTTAATATAAATACCGATTTAAAAGTATGATTACATAAAGACAGAAAAAGTGCTCTCTGAGGCCGACCCAAACCCCAGCGGTCGTATTCTGTGGGATGGAATCATTGAGCGGGTCGAGATCCTATGAAAAGCTACATTATGGTGGATGCTTTTATGCTGAGCTCTGATGAAAGAAATCCACCCTGCTGCCAACTTACCTGAAATGAATACGGTTAAGGAGCGCGGCGGCTCGGCGGCTCTCCCCAGTGAGTCGCTGCAGATTTCAGGCGGATTGGACCGTTCCGTCTCCGACCTGAAGATGGGATTTTTGAAACACTCAGTTCCTCAAAGGAGCGAGAGAGAGTTGGACTTCTGATTGCAGAGGACTCCGAGCCCGAGACTAAATATAGCTCCTGTTTGTCATCAGATGGATTCAGCTCCTGCTCCACAAGGTTTTTAGTGTTTCAAAACCAAGGTGTGATTGGGACAAGAGCGTGACTAGAAAGGCGTTTGGACCATTTACGTTTTTTTATTTTTTATTATCAAGTGTTTAATGTGATGCGCTGGAGACTGATATGACACTGGTTATGAAGCAGGAAAAAGATGCAGACATTTTACACTTCCCTTCTTAACATAATTAAACACACACACATGCACACACACACACACACGTGCACACACACACATGCATACACACACACACACACACACGTGTACACACACACACACACACCTTCCCCATCGTCCAGGTATCAATGACATTTCATTACTTTCTCATAGTTATAATTGTAAACACACATATATGGCAAATTTCTTCCATCTTTGACATCCACAGAAGCTGCAGTATTTAGTCTTATGCACAAACAATACAACAAAAAATAATACAGTACAGAAAATGTTAATAAATATAGAAAAAGATAGAGATGAATAACACACTGCCATACAAGTTTGTTAATAAACTGGACCAGCAGATTTCATTCACTGCTTTGGCATCATGAACCAGCCTTTCTAATAGAGCCATCGCTGCAGGTTTTTAGAACAAAATTGTGCGTGAATCATTCCATTCCATCCATTTTCTTCCGCTTCATCCGTTGCCGGGTCGCGGGGGCGGCAGTCTGAGCAGAGTGAGGAAGATTGACCGTAAATCTATAGCTTTGTCTTTCATTTCAGCTCCCTCTTACCTCAACGGTCTGACACAGCTCTGACTGCAGACGCTGCTCCCTCTTACCTCAACGGTCTGACACAGCTCTGACTGCAGACGCTGCTCCCTCTTACCTCAACGGTCTGACACAGCTCTGACTGCAGACGCTGCTCCCTCTTACCTCAACGGTCTGACACAGCTCTGACTGCAGACGCTGCTCCCTCTTACCTCAACGGTCTGACACAGCTCTGACTGCAGACGCTGCTCCCTCTTACCTCAACGGTCTGACACAGCTCTGACTGCAGACGCTGCTCCCTCTTACCTCAACGGTCTGACACAGCTCTGACTGCAGACGCTGCTCCCTCTTCACCACTACTATGTGAATCATACAATTTTAAATATTCATCAGATTATGTGGTTTCTAATTGGGGACTTGGAGCCGGGTGGTTAGCCACACGTGAGACCCTTGATGTCTAGGGTCCGATATTTGTAAATGTAGGAAATAGAGCTGGCCACACGGCAAAACTACGGCAAGAGAAGTGTCCAAGAACCATTCTGTCACTGTGACTGTACTTCTCTGAGGAAATATTAGAACCTTCCAGAAAGATCTCTGCGCTCAGACCTCTGCGCTGGATCTGCAGACTGTTATGGGCTTCAAAGTGATCCATTTCAGTTCAATTTAATGTGTCACGTTATAAAATGTCTCAGATTCATTTGGTTTGCCATTTGTAGTCACATAGACATATCTGCAAAATGTGCACCAGACAAGTACATAAATGAAACAATGTAAAAAGAACAGGATTAAAACAAGATAAAAGGATTAGGTCTGTTTTGTGTGTGGACATTTTAGAAAAAGGCTGGAAATGTGGGATTGTTGCTATCATTTCAGACTATGTTTGATGTTGTTTACCCGTCTTAGTCTTACTGCTCCTGGGATGTTCTAATCCAACCCACATTAGGATTAAATAACTTTACTGGTCTGTGATGGAGAAATGTACACGTCACATTTGGCACAGACAGATTCACTCAGATTTGTGTGCATCATGTTGAAGGTTAAGAATATTCTCTGTGCAGGATATATTATGTACATATATTAGCTGTTGTAGCACATGCAAAACATAACAAATAAGAATGACAAAAAATACAAAACGACCTAACTTCCTGCAGAGTGCGACTCCCTGCGACATCCACATTTCTATAAACTGCATTTACTTTTGTGCCAAGCCGCATAAATCATGTCCTATGTATCATTAATATACAGGGCTGTCAATAGGAGACGCATGAATGGAAGAAATATGGTTCTTCCCAAAAGAGGCAGGGTTGAAAAATGTGCAGTGCATCCATTTCTGCATAAAGACTTCCCCTGTGTGTCTGCAGTTGCTTCTGAACCTCCACTGCCCCCTAGTGGCCGCTCTCTGCCATGTGTGTGCAGTGTATTCGTATGTAGATGTGGGCTGTGTAAAGAAGAGGTTCTGTGCCAGGGTTAGTGGATTGAAACCACATTGCTTTATCAGAATGCACATACATTGTGTGCCCACTGTTGCCTCTATTTGAATATTCTGCAGTGAATAGAGATTTGGTTTAGGTTCAGAAAGAGGAAGAATTTCTTAAAACTGCTTTGTTTCACAATATTTTATTCTTGCCCTTTTTATTATGTAAAGATATGTGGAAAGGTTTGCATTTGTATTCTGTTGGTCTTAATATTTCAGTTTTAATATGTATGCAAAGGAAAATAATGCCTTTTGCCTTGACATCTCCAAAAACCCTCTTCATACTGTAGTGTCTGTCATTATAAGTTCTGTATGTACAGTATGTGTATATGTATATGTATGTGTCTTCATATGTGTACAGTTGTGTGTAGGACATTGGGGTGCATGAGGCTGTGGAGGTCTGGAAGGACAATGGTCTGGAGTGAGACCCTCGGGGAAGACAGACTCAGAGATACAGTTTAACCAGGACTAGTTTACAGATTATTGGTGAGCTGACCCATCCCTAAGGCCGCTCTGCTAAAACATGTACATAATATATCCTGCACAGAGTATATTCTTAACCTTCAACATGATGCACACTTCTGTCTCTTGCACAAATCTGAGTGAATCTGTCTGTGCCAAATGTGACGTGTACATTTCTCCATCACAGACCAGTAAAGTTATTTAATCCTAATGTGGGCTGGATTAGAACATCCCAGGAGCAGTAAGACTGACGGGTAAACACAAATAAAACCAGTAGAGTCTGAAATGATAGCAACATTACAATCCCACATTTCCATTGCTTCATTCTTTGTCTTTCCATGTTTGCATCTTGCTGGAGGTTCTGAAGCTCAGCCTGTAACCTGCATTTATTCTGTTTTTAGACGTTAAACCTTCTTTCTGATATCTAAACTGATCATTTCCATATCACTCTGTTTGTGCGAGAGGGAAACCCAGTTAGGACACATAGATTATATAAAAATGTATTAAGACTCTGATCTAACACACGCCTCAGTGATTAAAGAATACCCTAAACAAGTTTTATCTGGAGCTAGATTTGAGTGATTTTTCTGAACTTTTCAAGCCCATTCAGTCTCTTTTAGACGTTAATTCAGGATATTCTTCTTCTACCTTTAATCATACGCGTCGGTCTCTTCGCACAGAGTTAAATCATGAATAATTATCATGAAAATGAAAAGTTTGCATTGTCCCAGAGCCCCAGCGTTTCCACATCACTCTGTGCAGGAGGGAAACCCAGTTAGGACACATAGATTATTAGTTGGCAGAGCAATTGCCCTTTGAGCCTGAAGGTTGTGGGTTCGAGCCCACTGGAAGACCTTCTTTACCGACTCCCACTGCTGTCGTTGTGTCCTTGGGCAAGACACTTTACCCCACTTTGCACGCTGCCTTGATGTTTAATGTGTTAATGAGTGTGTTCACAGTAAAGTGTTAATTAAAGTATCTAGACTTTAAACGGTGATAATTCAAAAACTAAAATTACTTTATTAGAATGGAAAAAAAGATTCAAACACAGACAGATCAAAGAGAGAGTGTGGATAAAATAAAAAGGAAAGATCCACAAATACATTTTTGGCAACATTTTAAAAACCAGACATTTAAAAAAAAGTCCCACAAGATAAACATTAACACAACATTAACACAACATCAGGAAATCACTTCATTTAAAAAGGAATCATTAAAAAAATCAATACAAATTTATATGACCCTGAAAAATGTGTGACGGACGTGATGGTTTCTGTCTATTATTCTCTAATAATTAAACTTGAGGGGGAAAAAATAGTCTTTCACATTTATTGGTTTAATATGAAAGTATCAGTTTGTTTACAAAATAATAATATATTAATCAAATCTGAAAATATGTGATAAACTTCAGCTCATTCCGTCAAAACATCAGTTACATAAAATAAACAGACGCTTCAGGAAACTTAACTAATTTATAAAACAATTTTATTTTAGTAACTTTGATCGTGGAAAGGTTTAAGTTTATTTAAATTAATGTGAATATAATCAATCGAGACGACTTTTGTGTTGCCCTACAGCGGGGTGCACGCTAATAATCATCCACAAAACTCTGGTGCAAGACGATGTCCAACAAGTGGTAAATGTGTAACTTCAGCTTCTGTATTTTGGGGCTTTTCCGTGTGTGAGGGTGTGGGTTTTCTGTTCTGGAATAAACAATCTGCAGAGCATCGAGCACAGGCCTCAGCTGCAAGACATCTCCTGCTTTTTACATTAAAGTAAAATACTAATCCCTGTCTGTTGTGTGCGTTTGTCCAGATAACTGCAGCAGAACCCTTTTTTAAACAAACTTTTAATGGACTGTGGAGGGATTTGGAAACATGGAAAACATACAGTATCTTCTGGATTATTAACATATACAGTAGTTTTTGGCCTTTTGTCACACTTTAGTACCTTTTTAGTTTCAACAAACCCATGACTATTTATCGAACAGAATCTCTCCAGTGTGAGATCAATAAAGTTCTTGTTCTTCTTCTAACAGTGTGGTGCAGTTTGTGGAGCAGTGTTATCGCTGTGAGGCCTCAACGGACGACTCTGAATTAAAATAGTTTTGCTGAGAAATGATTGCAGCAAACCAAGGTTAATGTACAGGCAGATCTGCACAGAGACGCCCCGAGGCAGACGGCCGAGTTCATGGCTGAACGCGGAGGCAGTGGTTCTTTCATCTTTTTCATTTGTAATAAAAGCAGAAGAAGAAAATGTTGTTAAATTAGTGATAGATACTAAAGAATCTATTATTATACCTTTTTATAGGCATGGCTTTTATTAAGTGCATCGTACTTGTGCAGCACTTTATTCACAGTGGGGGGTATACTCGCTCACACATACTGTAACTACTCACACACATTAATACACTCTCTTACACACACTTTCTCTTACACACACACACATACACACACTCTCTTACACTCTCTCACACACACACACACACACACTCTCACACTCTCTCCTACACACGTACACACACTCTCTTACACACACTCTCTCTTACATACACACACACACTCTCACACTCTCACCCACACATTCACACTCTCACACACACACTCTCTCTCTTACACACACACACACACTCTCTCTCTTACACACTCTCACACACACGTACACACACTCTCTCTCTTACACACACACACACTCTCTCTCTTACACACTCTCACACACACGTACACACACACTCTCTCTTACACACACACACACTCTCTCTCTTACACACTCTCACACACACGTACACACACTCTCTCTTACACACACACACACACACACACACACACACACACACACACACACACTCTCTCTCTTACACACTCTCACACACACACTCTCTCTCTTACACACACACACACACACACACACACACACACACACACACTCTCTCTCTTACACACTCTCACACACACACACTCTCTCTCTTACACACACACACACACTCTCACACACACACTCTCTCTCTCTTACACACACACACACACTCTCACACACACACTCTCTCTCTCTTACACACACACACACTCTCACACACACACTCTCTCTCTTACACACACTCTCACACACTCTCACACACACTCTCTCTCTTACACACACACACACACTCTCACACACACACAGATTAGCAGTGATTATAAACAAACATGGGGGATTAATCCTGTGTGCTCCGTCTATTTTCCGCGGCGTTAGCGAGCTAATTACAAAGTGCTTACATTGTGAGAAAGCGTGTCCAGAACGTGACTGCGTTTGCCGCTTCATATGTTCTGATAAACACAGAATATTATTATCTGTCTGTGCTTTTCAACAAATCTGTGTTGTCCTCCATCAGTGGCTGAGTGGTTAGCATTCTCACCTCCCAGTCAGATGGTTCTGGGTTTGAATCCCGGTCGAAATAGGGTCTGTTCTCCCCGTGTCTGCGCAGCTTTCCTCCAGGTGCTCCGGTTTCCCCTACCACTAAAACATGTACAATAATTCTGAATGTACTGAGTGAATGGGCGGTGTTTGGTCGGAGGTTTTGATGGAGCAGTGTGTTCAGCGTCTCACTTCCGTCATCACCGTGTGGAGAGAATGGAACTATATCTGATTTCTGAACATTGTAAAGAGCTTTGTCTGTAAAAATGTGCTAAATAAATAAACATTACTTACATTAATACTTTCTACATATTCTCATAACTTTTCAACAAATAATAATCAGTTTTATACAGCGCTTTTTTTGGACGCTCAAAGTCTCTTCTCATCAGTATTCTTTCTCTCCATTCACGGTGGTGACAAACTACGACTGTAGCCAGAGCTGCCCTGGGGCACACTGACAGAAGCGAGGCCACCAGTCTGTGCCATTGGCCCCTCCCACACACACCAGACTTTCTCGTAGTTTTCCAGTCTTCTCTGCGTACTGTATGTGATCTCTCTGATAGTCCCTTGTCTTTCCTCTTTCCTCAGGTTGAAGCGATCCTCGTCAACATTTTCGGGGGAATCGTGAACTGTGCCATAATCGCCAACGGCATCACCAAAGCCTGTCGAGAGCTGGAACTCAAGGTCCCGCTGGTGGTCCGGCTCGAAGGTAAGACCACAGAGAGTCACTTAGATCTAGGTCTGAGCTGTACATGGACAGGACTTACATTTGGGTCTAAAGTCAAAGTTCATTTTTATTGTTCTCATTATTTTTAAACATCAATTATTTGTAAACATTAACCATGGACGGTTTTTTTAGACACATTTGTTTTCACCCATTGTGTCAAACAAGAAAAGCAAATAGATTATACCAATAATAAAAGTCCTAATTTCTGTTATTCATTACTTTTTTCCTTTTCATTTATATTCCTTGTATTTTTTTATTTATTTTTTATTATCATTTATTTTTATTTTATTTTGTTATAAATGTGTTTTGTGTTAAATGTCATGTGCTGTCTCTCCTCTGGGGGGTGTTGTGGGAGGGGCTGGGGGTAGAGTTGGTCCTCACTGGTCCGTTTTAGCTCAGAATTTGTCCCAGTCGTGTAAAGTCTGATTGTCTTTGGGTTTGTTTACACTAAAGGTACAAAACTGTGACATAAAACCAGAAACTAGATGTTCATAATCAGAAGGAATGAGGTTTTTCATGTTTCTAAATCCTTCCTCAGTCCTTTAGAAGTTTCTAGATGAAAACTGTTTTATAAATTAGTCAAGTTCCCCAAAGAGGACCTGATGGTTTGAGCTGACGTTTGTTACGTATTTCCACTTGATTCATAGATTAGTGATTATCTCCTGGGCCGATCAGTCTCCATTGTGGGCCGGTGTCTCCATTGTGGGCCGGTGTCTCCATTGTGGCCCGGTGTCTCCATTGTGGCCCGGTGTCTCCATTGTGGCCCGGTGTCTCCATTGTGGCCCGGTGTCTCCATTGTGGCCCGGTGTCTCCATTGTGGGCCGGTGTCTCCATTGTGGCCCGGTGTCTCCATTGTGGCCCGGTGTCTCCATTGTGGCCCGGTGTCTCCATTGTGGCCCGGTGTCTCCATTGTGGCCCGGTGTCTCCATTGTGAGTCTGTGTTTCCATTGTGGCCCGGTGTCTCCATTGTGGCCCGGTGTCTCCATTGTGAGTCGGTGTGTCCATTGTGAGTCGGTGTGTCCATTGTGAGTCGGTGTGTCCATTGTGAGTCGGTGTGTCCATTGTGGCCCGGTGTCTCCATTGTGAGTCGGTGTCTCCATTGTGAGTCGGTGTGTCCATTGTGAGTCGGTGTGTCCATTGTGGCCCGGTGTCTCCATTGTGAGTCGGTGTCTCCATTGTGAGTCGGTGTCTCCATTGTCAGTCGGTGTGTCCATTGTGAGTCGGTGTCTCCATTGTGAGTCGGTGTGTCCATTGTGAGTCGGTGTGTCCATTGTGAGTCGGTGTGTCCATTGTGAGTCGGTGTGTCCATTGTGAGTCGGTGTGTCCATTGTGAGTCGGTGTGTCCATTGTGAGTCGGTGTGTCCATTGTGAGTCGGTGTGTCCATTGTGAGTCGGTGTGTCCATTGTGGCCCGGTGTGTCTCCATTGTGGCCCGGTGTGTCTCCATGGTGGGCCGGTGTGTCTCCATTGTGGCCCGGTGCCTCTCTCTGGACTCTGGACCATTCCTCATACGTGTCACATTGTGCTGTGCTGGTCATTAGCAGCAGAATAACGGCCCTGATTGGCTCACCTCTGACCGCGGTATGCTAACAAAAGCAGGTCTCGGGGCCAGTTGGTGGTTAGCGTTAATTGTCAAGATCCTGCAGAAGAAGAGTGTAACTGACTTCACCCCAAACAGATGAACATACAGTATACAACATATACATCATATACATAATATACTACTGCCACTACTACTACTACTACTGCCACTACTACTACTACTACTGCCACTACTACTACTACTACTGCCACTACTACTACTACTACTGCCACTACTACTACTACTACTACTGCCACAACTACTACTACTACTGCCACTACTACTACTACTACTGCCCCTACTACTACTACTGCTACTACTACTGCCACTACTACTACTACTACTGCCACTACTACTACTACTACTGCCACTACTACTACTGCCACTACTACTACTACTACTGCCACTACTACTACTACTACTGCCCCTACTACTACTACTGCTACTACTACTGCCACTACTACTACTACTACTGCCACTACTACTACTACTACTGCCACTACTACTACTCACTCACTACTACTACTACTACTGCCACTACTACTACTGCCACTACTACTACTACTGCCACTACTACTACTGCCACTACTACTACTGCCACTACGACTACTACTACTGCCACTACTACTACTACTGCCACTACTACTACTACTGCCACTACTACTACTACTACTGCCACTACTACTACTACTACTGCCACTACTACTACTACTACTACTGCCACTACTACTACTACTACTACTGCCACAACTACTACTACTACTGCCACAACTACTACTACTACTGCCACTACTACTACTGCCACTACTACTACTGCCACTACTACTACTACTGCCACTACTACTACTACTACTGCCACTACTACTACTGCCCACTACTACTACTACTGCCACTACTACTACTACTACTGCCACTACTACTACTACTACTACTACTGCCACTACTACTACTACTACTGCCACTACTACTACTACTACTACTGCCACTACTACTACTACTACTACTGCCACTACTACTACTACTACTGCCACTACTACTACTACTACTACTACTGCCACTACTACTACTACTACTGCCACTACTACTACTACTACTGCCACTACTACTGCCACTACTACTACTACTACTGCCACTACTACTACTACTACTACTACTACTGCCACTACTACTACTACTACTACTACTACTACTACTACTACTACTACCACTACTACTACTACTACTACTACTACTACTACTACTGCCACTACTACTACTACTACTACTACTACTACTACTGCCACTACTACTACTGCCACTACTACTACTACTACTGCCACTACTACTGCCACTACTACTACTGCCACTACTACTACTACTACTACTACTACTACTGCCACTACTACTACTACTACTACTACTACTACTACTACTACTGCCACTACTACTACTACTACTACTACTACTACTGCCACTACTACTACTACTACTACTACTACTACTGCCACTACTACTACTACTACTACTACTACTACTACTACTACTACTGCCACTACTACTATTACTACTACTACTACTGCCACTACTACTACTACTGCTACTACTGCCGCTACTACTACTACTGCTACTGCTACTGCTGCGTGTTGGTTCACATCCCAGCCTCAGCCGCGGGTCATCACTTCCTGGGCGGTCGTGTTGTGGAGAAGATTGGTTCTGAATCAATCTTGGCTGAGAGCGAGCGGCGCCGGCTCCGTCTCCTCCGCTCGGATCACACTGGATTAACTTTCTCACTTTTAATTGGTAGAACTCTTGTGGAAGACCGGCGCTGAAGACCCTGGAGGAGCGGGATCCCAGACACTTGTAGCAGTAAATGATTTATAAATATTTATTTACTGAAGCCTGGATTTCTTCTCGGTGCGACTGCAGAGAAATTACAGTGATTGGTTTAATTATTCATGTTTTATAAAGTGGGTTATTATTAAATGTTGCAGAGTAAGAAGCTGGTCTCGTTTGTTTTGTGCGTCTCGTTTGTTTAATGATGAAGATTGAACGATTATGGATTGTGTTGATTGGATAATTGTTTGGAACCATAACATCTCATTAAAAACCCACTCGATCCAGGTCTCCTTTAATCCCGTTTGAGCCTTGTCAAACTGTTGTATTCTCCTTTAAAGCTAAAGTGTGCGTGCATGCTAGTTGTTGTTAGCTTTATAGACGTGAAGTCTGCTCCCTGGAAGTTTGTGAAAGCACTTGAGTTATTACTGTGGGAAAATATAGAATGTAAAGGATTTGTTTATGGGTTAAATGTTTTTAATGAATCTGGGGTATTTTTTTGTTGTATATTTTTGTATATTTAGTTATTTTTTGATAACGTTAATATTTTTGGTCATTTAGATATTTTGGTTGATTAGATTATATTGGGTTTAGTTTAGTTTAATGCAGTGGCACCTAGAGGATAAAGGGGGCAGTACAGGGGCACTCATGGTGCTGGGGCCTTCATGGTGCTGGGGCCTTCATGGTCCTGGGGCCTTCATGGTCTTGGGGCCTATGGTTTGTTACCAGTTTAAATGCAGAATTTCTGTTTTTGTTAAATAAACGATTTGAAAGTTATATTTTGATGGATATTAGTTTATTATTTTTACTGTAAACTCATGGTTTGTTTAACAAATAGTCAGGACACATAGTATCGTTAGAACAGTCACATGGTATTGTTTGTACCTGCACATGGAGACACTTTATTAATATTTATAGATAAAGGTTTTTGTTTATTTTACTCAGAAATGAGCTCTGGATCCTGACTCAGCTCCTTCTCAAGACTTGATCTTTTATTTTTGTTTGTTATTTTAATGTCCATCACAGCGTCAGCTCAGGGACTGTGGTGGATGGTCTTGAGCTGTTAATGTTTGTTATACACTGTCTCTGTCATTATAAATAAATAAACTAAACTTCTAGAGTTGACCAAAGTTACATGAAATCAAACACTTTTGTCTCTGAAACCAACTGTAAGTTTCTTTTACATCTGCTTATCCAGGTCTGTTTCTACTTCTTTCTTTCAGTGTGTGAAAATGAGCTACTCCTAAAATAACTTGCCCGTGTACAGTTATGTTTTAGTTCCATAAAGAAGCAGTAACAGTTTAGGCTGTAGTCTGCAAACAACGTCAGAAAAAGCAAAAACATGTCAGAGCTTCACAGAACATCAGTGTTTTCTGAATAAATCTTCACTCAATTTATTCATTCATATTTATTTTCATATTTATTTTCATTTCAGTCTCTGCCTTTTTCTTTTGGATTAATAATGTCCATTGAGACGCAGTCTGTCTGGTGAGTGGGCCTCTAGCAGCCCCTAGTGGCCGCAGCGGTGAATGCAGGTTGCTGTCCATGGTGCTGAAGCTGTGGGACATCAGTGCTCCCTGCTGCTCACACTGGAGCTACACATACAGCTTTGGTGTTGGCATTTTTAGTGAAAAACAATGAAATCACTTTATACTTGCTTATTTTATACTTATCTTATACTTATTTTTCTTCAAATGTATTATGTTAAAAAAAGAGATTTTATACTTTAAATTTTTCCGCTGTGGGACCAATAATTAATCTTAATCTTAATGTTTTTGTTATTAGTAGAGGGACAGATTTGGACCTTTCAAAGCCGTCTTGCTCGGGGCAAGTCAATATCCTTTTAAAATGTGTTTTCCCCTGACATCAGACGACTGAAGGTTTCTATAAACTTAGACCTAGACTTAGAGATACTTTATTGATCCACAGGGAAATTGCGTCGTCACGGTAACTTGCATAACAATAATAATAGAAATAAATTAACAACCTGAGAATAATAATTAGATACTATTGTGAGAATAATCTGGATATAGGAACGAATATACATATCTGTGAATATTTACAGTTTGAAAAACACAGATAATAGGATCTGTAAATATACAATATATACACGAAGCAGATAAACTCGACGTCTATGAAGAATATCGACTAAAACAGTGGCTATAATAAGTTTAAATGTCATAACATATTCATGGCCTAAACTCTCTCTCCTTCCTTTTCTAATCCCGAGGAGTTATTTTCATCATCGGATCAGATTAGTCACATAACAGCGATGCACATGTGTCATTTCAACACCAACAGAACCGTCCAATCACAACACAGCGCCCAGTTCGTAACGTCCTGAACAGACTCTTGTTAGCGACGCCCTAATGGAATGTTTGCATGTTATTGGTTTGGGCAAACACAGCCCTATGAATATGTATCGGAATCTTTCTTCTGTGAACCTATTTGTCTTCCCCGCCATGAATGATGCATCTGCAGGAGGTCTGTCTGCTGTTGTCAGAAGTTTGTTTAGCTTCAGGTTCAAATGGATCCGTGTTTTCTCCGTTATCCAGGTGCTCCCAACGGCCGCGGCGAGTCTGCGGTCCCCCGTGCACCAGCGCTCCTCTTCCTCGTCTTATCCTAATTAATGACACCAGGCCATTGATTGTTTTTGCCGTGCGCCGCTACAGAAACGTGTTTGGAATGACTTATTATTAGCCGGACAAAAGAGATGAAATATTAGGCGTTAAGTGGGGCCCGGTAACAGAATTCCTCATCAAAGGTCTATTGATTGGAGCGTCCAGGGCGTCTTCATTACCGGAGTCCAGAGGTCGCGGCAGCGGCTGGCAGGTCTGCACGCACCTCGCCATGATGATTATTTACTGTGTGTTTTGTGAAGAGAAGGGCTGCAGTGTTGTGTGCTCAAGTCCAGAGTCTGTTTTTACGTTTGGGCGAAAATGAGACAAAAGGTTCAAGGCCATTTCTGTTTCTTTCTCTTTGGCCTCAGTCTCTTCCGTCGCGAGGTTTGGTTGTTTAAACTTTGACCAAAAAGGAGTTGAGAAAGTTGTGGGATCGATTTGGGAACTTTTATCTGAGCAGCTTTTTTACGGTTAATAATAAATGACTGATTTAAATTCCATCCAAACATTTTCTTCCGCTTCATCCATGTCTAGGTCGGGGGTGGCAGTCAGAGCACCAGCCGCTGATCCTCTGCAGGAGCTGAGTCTCTGAGTACAGTCTTCTGATCTTTCAGTCGGGTTGAGTGTCTTGCCCAAGGACACAACAACAGCAGACATCAGACCCTCAACCCCCTAGTACTGTATAGTACAGTACAGTGTAGTATAGTAGTATTGTACAGTATAAGAATAGTCAGTATATATTTTCTAGTTTATTCCGAGCTCTTTCGTCTGAATCCTGTTTTATTGAATCATTTTTAGTTTTATTGTTTTGACCTTTTGACAGTTTCTGACTTTTTCCTGTTTTTGGATCAATGCTCAGTCACTGCAGGTCTGGAGGGTGCCCCTGGTGCTGTGCTCACCCATGGGTGCACCAGGGGCACCCATGGGTGCCCTGGGTGCCCCTGGTGCTGTGCTCACCCAAGGGTGCCAGCGTGTCGCCCCAACACCTGCTCCTCCTCAGACTCAGACTCAGAGTCAGATCTTGACCTTGTTCACAACATGATGTTTTGGATCAAAGCCCAAAGTTCTCCGTCTGTGACAGAAAAGATCTGATCTTCACAGCTCCAGTTTGTACTTCCTTTGATCAGAGTTAGATGTATTTTAAACTCATGAAAATGTAATTACTTCAACCTTTTTTTCCACATAATTAAATATGAGGTTTTTTTTAATTTAGAGAGATGAGAGTTTTATTTCATCAATGACATTTCTTTTTCAGGTTTTGTTTCTGTGCTCAGTCCAGTCGCTCACACATGTCGTACATTTACTATTAAATATATATGTTTACCTTGACTATGACTATAAATGTTTTTAATCCTGGTCCTTTATTCTAACTCTTGGGAGACGTCTAATTAATTAGTTCTGAGGTATTGTTCATTTATCTTGTGCTGTGTGCTCCTCTTTCCTACTGTTCTGTAACTTCTGCTGCAACACTGACATTTCCCCACTGTGGGACGTATAAAGGATCTCTTAATCTTAATCTTAATCTTGTTTTGTAGGAACCAACGTGCACGAGGCCAAGAGGATCCTGTCCGAGAGCGGTCTGCCCATCACTGCCGCAGACGACTTGGACGATGCGGCGAAGAAAGCAGTGGCTGCCACCACGAAGTAGAGCGCCACAGCTCCCCCTGCTGTTCAGTGTGAGAACTGCAGTCCAGTGTGGGCCGGACCATCGCGTGTCCCCCTCAGCTGGTGTTTGTACTAGAATCATGACCCGGTGAAACTGTGTGACCTTCAACTCCTGCATTCCAATCGAGCTCAGATTCTAACTGTTATTGCCTTTGATCTTCCGGTTGATCCACTGCCTTTGTGCATTTTTCCAAAACTGTTGCCTCAGTTTTGGAACCGTTTGTCGTTCACAGTTGGACGAGAAATCAACAAATCAATCCAAGCTAAATTATTGTTTTTAAGAATCACTTACATTGTATTTGTTAAGATTGAAAAACATATTAAAGTTGATTTGAATCAGTTTTCAGCCACAACAGAAAAACAAACCGATCGTTCTCGGCTGAAGATCTCCCGGTGCTTTTGAAAATCACGTCTTCTTAAAATGTGCCAAAAACCAACTCTTATAAATGATAAATAATATATACACTGATATAATGGTAGCAATAGTTTCATATGAGAAAGTTTAAATGTTCTGTATTTTTAATCATGGTAAATTTACAGACACAGTCTGTGTAGAAACCATTTTGACAATAAAAACTGAAGATGAAGAAATGTGTTTATTTATTTATGAGGGACGTTGGAGTTTAACTGTGGTTTTTCTTAAGTGCAACAAAACAAGTGTAAATAAAGAAACGCTAAAAAGATATGTTTAACTTTACATTTGGAAGTGCACGGTCCAGAGAGAACAGAGAGATTAGAAAATTAAAGATGGGGGTGGAAACATGATGATTTGGGGCAACTTTTCTGCCACTGGGATGGTACGACTGATGTCTGTCCCTTCACTGGGATCAGCAGATTCTTGAAGGTAAAAAATATTTGACAAAAAGCAGGATCTAAATAAATCAGACTCATTAATTCATTAAAAAATATTTGAACTTGTCAGAAATGTCTTAACAGTAAGATCCGATATTTCTTTAGTCATCATCGCAAATTACAGCCGAATAAAGAAAGGAAATAAGTCATCACTAATATTATACGATAATTTGTTCATAAAATATTAAAATGAAAACATGTGTCGGTGGAGAAGGTCTCGTGGGGGAATCAAACCCACAACCTTCAGGCTCCTCTGCCATCTGAGCCACTGTCGCTCCTGAATATGTAATAAAGCAGTAATAATAATAATAACGGGTAAAGTGACCGTGGATAATCAGAACAGGTGAGTGTGTTGACTCAGCAGTTCTCATTGTACAGTCTGACAGCAGCAAGAAAGACATGTGGAACCTCTCCTTCACACAGCAAGGGTGGATCAGCCTGTCACTGAAGCTTCTCTCCAGAGTGGTGAGAGCGTCCTGCAGGGGGCGACAGTCACGGTTAGTATAGTAGGCCAAGGTCATGTTATATCTGAAAGAAGAACCAGTATTTAAACACAAGACAGAATTGTTTTTACGCATTAGATGACTGCTGCCGGTGCCAAACTTCACACACTAGCACTTCCCCCTTGTTAGCGCATGAGATTCACCTCCACACAAACTTTCCTCTCAGCAGAAGTCGTGTGAAAAGCGCACACTCAGAGGTGGCTGTGGCCGCTCCCAGACTCGCCGTAGAAATGGGCTGAAGGGTTCAATAATTGCCTTATTTCATGCTCTCCCCTCAGTGTCAGGGCTCTCTCCGCTGATGGATTGGACGGAGGAATTCAAAGCTTGTTAAGACTTCTCGGAGCCCCTAATATTGTTTAATTCAGAGCGGAGCTAGAGGTCACAACAAAAAGTGCACACTGATTTACCCGGCAAAATTAGCGCCGCTCCTTCTTATAAATAAAGATGAGCGTTTGGAGGTCAGGCTTCGCGCCACAGCCTCTCGCTTCAGGACGGACGGGAAGCTAACACGGACAACTGCTTTAATTAAGCTGAATTATTATGCTATCGGAGTTGTATTTTTCTCCCTGGCATCGCGGCGCTATTAGTCTTTGTAATTGTGTGTTTTGCTTCCGCAGCCTGTGAATTGATGTCAAACGGTAATTGCCACTTTATGAAGCGGCGGAGAGTGTTAAGTGCGGCGGGAGGAGCCACTTTGACTCGGGTCAGGCCTCTTCACACGATGTATGGCAGATCTGTTTTCCTGTTGTGAAGTGAGCGTCCAAAGCATCGGTTCATAATAAAAAGCGGCCGCGAGTTGGCACTTGTGTGGAATATCATGAAATAATTGCAATAAAATTAAGTCGTGTCTGAAGAGATTTTTCTCGAGGACCACGTTTTTTTAATAAATGCGAAGCTCAGGCACATTGTCCTGCAATCTCACTGCTTGCCGGTGTTGGGGGTGTACCCGGAAAGAGAATTTCCCAATGCTTTTGGGTTAGTATGCCGCCTTCTTTTTGTCTGGAAAACGGCTTCACAGGATGGTCCAAAAGTGGCTCTTGGTCCAAAAGTGGCTCTTGGTCCAAAAGTGGCTCTTGGTCCTGTTCGTATGGGGTGCCGATTGTAAAAATTCTGTTAAATTTTTTTAGCTGAACATTTTTCTACATTTAGCACATTTTCCTCACATTTAAGACAGACATTCATGTAAAACAACACGTTATACGTAGTTGTCAAATACATGTTAAATATTATATATATATGTTTATATCTAAATCTAAATGTGAAATGTTATATCTAAATATTATATCTATATCTAAATGTTAAATGTTATATCTAAATATTATATCTATATCTAAATGTTAAATGTTATATCTAAATGTTATATCTATATCTAAATGTTATATCTATATCTAAATGTTAAATGTTATATCTAAATGTTATATCTATATCTAAATGTTATATCTATATCTAAATGTTATATCTAAATATATCTATATCTAAATGTTAAATGTTATATCTAAATGTTATATATATATCTAAATGTTAAATGTTATATCTAAATGTTAAATCTAAATGTTATATCTATATCTAAATGTTATATCTAAATGTTATATCTAAATGTTAAATGTTATATCTAAATATTATATCTATATCTAAATGTTATATCTATATCTAAATGTTATATCTATATCTAAATGTTATATCTATATCTAAATGTTAAATCTAAATGTTAAATCTAAATGTTAAATCTAAATGTTATATCTAAATGTGTCGCCAAGTGTAAAGCTAAATATATAGAAAATATTTAAATCCGCAAGGAAACCACGCCCACTGCAGTGGCTTCAAATCCAGTGGGGGGTCCGCCCCCTTTCCTGAAATGAGTTGCTCTAGTGGCAGGCCGTGGTATTGCAGCCTACAGCTCAAAAGCCCTTTTCGCCATAGACAACCATGTAAAAGGAGCAGCCTGTAAAATGGTCCACGGGGCGTCTGGAGTTTCAGATTAAGGCAAATATTTTTCTTTAAAATGACTATTTTTAGGACATGGACTTATTTTCTTCGTAAAAGAATTGTAAAGCATCAAAAATCATTTAAAAAAGTTTTTTTTTTAACTGTTTAAAAACAAAGTTGTTTTTTAAACTTTAAAAAGGTTTTTCAAAAACTGGACTAAAAACAAGGATAAATGCTAACTAACAAACCCCTCAAGTAAGTTTGTTTCTGTCTTTAGCAGCATTTCATGTACTTTGTAAGTTTACTATGTTATTTGAGTGAGTGAGTACGTTATTTGAGTGAGTACGTAATCTTTATTTAGTAAGTAAGTGCTTTATTGTCATTGTACAAGTGCACAACGAAACAGTGTTCAGGTGTCAGGACATACATGAAATGCTGCTAAAGACAGAAACAAACTTACTTGAGGGGTTTGTTAGTTAGCATTTATCCTTGTTTTTAGTCCAGTTTTTGAAAAACCTTTTTAAAGTTTAAAAAACAACTTTTTTTTTAAACAGTTAAAAAAAAACTTTTTTAAATGATTTTTGATGCTTTACAATTCTTTTACGAAGAAAAATAAGTCCATGTCCTAAAAATAGTCATTTTAAAGAAAAATATTTGCCTTAATCTGAAACTCCAGACGCCCCGTGGACCATTTTACAGGCTGCTCCTTTTACATGGTTGTCTATGGCGAAAAGGGCTTTTGAGCCGTAGGCTGCAATACCACGGCCTGCCACTAGAGCAACTCATTTCAGGAAAGGGGGCGGACCCCCCACTGGATTTGAAGCCACTGCAGTGGGCGTGGTTTCCTTGCGGATTTAAATATTTTCTATATATTTAGCTTTACACTTGGCAACACATTTAGATATAACATTTAGATTTAACATTTAGATTTAACATTTAGATTTAACATTTAGATATAGATATAACATTTAGATATAGATATAACATTTAGATATAGATATAATATTTAGATACAGTGATGGGCAGTAGCGTCGCTACAAGTAGCGTCGCTACTAGCTTAACTACATTTTTCAGTAGCTTGACAGTAGCGTCACTATTTACAAAACCTAGTAACTTTTCTGTAGCTAAGCTATATTATTGCTCAAGTAGCGCGGTAGCGTCCGCCAAAGCTATTTTCTCACGGACATCTCTGATGTTCACATATTACAGCATTTTCCCGCAGCATAAAACAAACCTATAGAAAGACAGAATGCTGATGCGCATGCGCAGGACTTGGTAACGACACACACACACGAACGTACGCGCGCACGCACACGCACACACATGCGCGCGCGCTACTGGGCGAAGCAAAAGCATGGCAGAGAGCCCAGGAGCCGCCGCGGTGGAGGAGGACCATGATAAGGACTCTCAAAGTGTTGTACCGTGGCCATACCTCCAAAAGTACGTCACTCTAGTCGAGATGAGCGAAAAGAAATATGTTTTCAGATGCCTACTCTTTGTTGTTTTTGGTGTTTTGGGCTATTGTTCAATAAATATCTACAAAATGTTAACCTTTATCTGACTGACAGTTTATCTCAAATAAGAAGATAAGCTTTATTAATCTCACACAGGAGACATTTACATGTCACATTTGGCATGGATAAAACACTCAAGAATTGTGCAAAAAATAAGAAATGAGTAAACATGTTAATGCAGGAAAATA